ACTTCTGGACTGAGTTTGCTGCACTGAAAGTAAAGGGGCCGAATAATATTGCACGCCCCACTTTTCAGTTTTTTATTTGTTAAAAAGGTTTAAATTATCCAATAAATTTCGTTCCACTTCACGATTGTGTCCCACTTGTTGTTGATTCATGACAAAAAATTAAAATGTTATATCTTTATGTTTGAAGCCTGAAATGTGGCGACATGTTGAAAGGTTGAAGGGGGCCGAATACACTGTATGTCTCCCATATATGGTCGGATGGATATGGTACAGGAAGCAGATGATCGTCATGGCGCCTCAGACAGAGGGACCATGAGTGACAGAATGAGGCTGAAACCATTGATTTGAAACCAGGAAAACTGGTCTGTGGGTCCAGTGACGGTGATGGTTCTGAGATCTGAGAGAGACCAGAGAGAGAGAGAGACCAGAGAGAGAGACCAGAGGGAGAGAGACCAGAGAGGGAGAGACCAGAGGGAGAGACCAGAGAGAGAGAGAGACCAGAGGGAGAGAGACCAGAGGGAGAGAGAGACCAGAGAGAGAGACCAGAGGGAGAGAGACCAGAGGGAGAGACCAGAGAGAGAGACCAGAGATAGAGACTGGGGAGAGTCCAGAGAGAGACCAGAGAGAGACCAGAGAGATACTGGAGAGAGAGACCAGAGAGAGAGACCAGAGAGAGAGACCAGAGAGAGAGACCAGAGTGAGAGACCAGAGAGAGAGACCAGAGGGAGAGAGACCAGAGAGGGAGAGACCAGAGAGAGAGAGACCAGAGGGAGAGAGAGCAGAGGGAGAGACCAGAGAGAGAGACCAGAGATAGAGACTGGAGAGAGTCCAGAGAGAGACCAGAGAGAGAGACCAGAAAGAGACACCAGCGAGAGAACAGCGAGAGATCAGAGACAGAGACCAGAGAGAGAGACCAGAGAGAGAGACTAGAGAGAGAGAGAGACCAGAGAGAGAGACCAGAGTGAGAGACCAGAGAGAGAGACCAGAGAGAGAGAGAGACCAGAGAGAGACCAGAGAGAGAGACCAGAGAGATACTGGAGAGAGAGAACAGAGAGAAAGACCGGAGAGAGAGACCAGAGAGAGAGAGAGACCAGAGAGAGACCAGAGAGAGACCAGAGAGAGAGACCAGAGAGAGAGACCAGAGAGAGAGACCAGAGAGAGAGACCAGAGAGAGACCAGAGAGATACTGGAGAGAGAGACCAGAGAGAGAGACCGGAGAGAGACCAGAGCGAGAGACCAGCGAGAGACCAGAAAGAGAGAGAGAGAGACCAGAGAGATACTGGAGAGAGAGACCAGAGAGAGACCAGAGAGAGAGACCAGAGAGAGACCAGAGAGAGAGACCAGAGAGAGAGACCAGAGGGAGACCAGAGGGAGACCAGAGAGAGACCAGAGAGAGACCAGAGAGAGACCAGAGAGAGACCAGAGAGACCAGAGGGAGACCAGAGAGAGAGACCAGAGAGAGACCAGAGAGAGACCAGAGAGAGAGACCAGAGAGAGACCAGAGAGAGACCAGAGAGAGACCAGAGAGAGAGACCAGAGAGAGAGACCAGAGGGAGACCAGAGAGAGACCAGAGAGAGACCAGAGAGAGGCCAGAGAGAGACCAGAGAGAGACCAGAGAGAGAGACCAGAGAGAGAGACCAGAGAGAGAGTCCAGAGAGAGAGACCAGAGAGAGAGTCCAGAGAGAGACCAGAGAGAGACACCAGCGAGAGACCCAGACCAGAGAGAGACCAGAGTTATTATTCACTTGACCTCAGAGTGGGTTAACTGTAAACATTGGCCTTGAGCTCTCGGCCAATCAGACGACAGCTCCCCGTGAGCTCTCGGCCAATCAGACGACAGCTCCTGAGTGAGACATTTCCTCACGTCCAAATCCAATGTTCAGCTCAGCTCATAAATATTTAGACTTCTCTTCACTTTGTCCACCTTTGAACTCACTGTGGCTCTCGATTGATGGTCCTGGTCTTGTCCGGTCTACTGTATACACATGGTCCTGGTCTTGTCCTGTCTATAAACATGGTCCTGGTCCAGTCCTGGTCTATACACATGGTCCTGGTCTTGTCCTGTCTATACACATGGTCCTGGTCCAGTCCTGGTCTATACACATGATCCTGGTCTTGTCCTGGTCTATGCACATGGTCCTGGTCCCGTCCTGGTTGGTTTGGTCCGAGTCCTGGTCTGTATAGTCCAGGTCCAGTCCTCTCTTAGTCCTTGCTAGCGTTCGCAGACTGATCCGATAGATAAAGTGGTGATCCGGTCATTAGCATTTCGTTTGGCCCTCATTTGTCTTAGCGATAGCAACATTAGCGATAGCAACATTAGCGATAGCAACATTAGCGATAGCAACATTAGCGATAGCAACATTAGCGATAGCAACATTAGCACAAAGTCTCTGTTTGTGGAAGATTGGACTCAGATTATGTTCTTGAAGAAGACGAAGACAAAGAGCAGACAACAGAGAAATGCAAATGAATCCAAGAGGAGACCGGTCTAGACTCGGGTCTGAACCCACTCTTCAAAAACCACCTTTAAAGGACAGTTTGAGCCAAGATTGTTCTGTAGTTTTTAGTTCCATACCGACTGCTGTCCTAACCCTCTGTCTTAAAGCTGGGGTACCTTACTTGTCTCATGTTTACTGTAGTACTTGGTATTTGTCCAAACGGAAAGAGTAAAAGTAAAATGTTGTGAACAAATCTATATATAAACGTATATGTCTTTTCCACACTTCTGCCGGAGGGAAGAAGCTGGAACACGGCTTCTCCAGGGTCCAGATGAGCTCGGTTTAAGATTCCTAAACTCTGGCCTCTCTCTGGTCTCTCTTTGGTCTCTCTCTGGTCTCTCTCTCTGGTCTCTCTCTGGTCTCTCTCTGGTCTCTCTCTCTGGTCTCTCTCTCTGGTCTCTCTCTCTGGTCTCTCTCTCTGGTCTCTCTCTGGTCTCTCTCTGGTCTCTCTCTCTGGTCTCTCTCTGGTCTCTCTCTGGTCTCTCTCTCTGGTCTCTCTCTGGTCTCTCTCTGGTCTCTCTCTCTGGTCTCTCTCTCTGGTCTCTCTCTCTGGTCTCTCTCTCTGGTCTCTCTCTGGTCTCTCTCTGGTCTCTCTCTCTGGTCTCTCTCTCTGGTCTCTCTCTCTGGTCTCTCTCTCTGGTCTCTCTCTGGTCTCTCTCTCTGGTCTCTCTCTGGTCTCTCTCTCTGGTCTCTCCCTCTGGTCTCTCTCTCTGGTCTCTCTCTGGTCTCTCTCTCTGGTCTCAGTCTTGGTGTGAAGACCCGCCCTCATGGATCTTAAAGTCTCAGTCTTGGTGTGAAGACCCGACCTCGTGGATCTTCACCTTTTCTCTTGTAACAGATGAAACGAGTCTGTAATGAGGCTAATGAAACCATGTGAGTGCGGCTGGTGTCTGCCTTAACCGCGGCCGGAGCCGGGGGATTGAACCCGTAACCTCCTGGCTCTGCATTAACAAGCCGCTCTGTGATTGGTCACTTACCGGAGCCAGAACATTGGACTAATTGGAATCGAGTGCTAGTTTTCCGAACAACACGGAGCTGTAGTGAAAGTGAGCAGCGGATCTATGTCGGGTTTTCACTCAGTCTGCGGTGATTAACTGTAGTCGTTCCCATTCTCAAGTCTCCAAGCTGTTTCTGTGAATGAAAAATACATTTGTGGAAGAAGAAGGAGGAGGAGAAGGAGAAGAAGGAGAAGTAGAAGGAGAACAAGAAGGAGGAGGAGGAGAAGAAGTAGAAGAAGGAGGAGGAGAAGGAGAAGAAGGAGAAGTAGAAGGAGAAGAAGAAGGAGAAGAAGGAGGAGGAGAAGAAGAAGTAGAAGAAGGAGGAGAAGGAGAAGAAGAAGGAGAAGGAGAAAGATAAGCAGGAGAAGGAGAAGAAGAAGTAGAAGGAGAAGAAGAAGGAGAAGAAGAAGTAGAAGGAGAAGGAGGAGAAGAAGAAGAAAGAGGAGAAGGAGAAGTAGAAGGAAAAGAAGGAGAAGGAGAAGTAGAAGGAGAAGAAGAAGGAGAAGAAGAAGTAGAAGAAGGAGGAGAAGGAGAAGAAGAAGGAGAAGGAGAAAGATAAGCAGGAGAAGGAGAAGAAGAAGGAGAAGAAGAAGTAGAAGGAGAAGAAGAAGGAGAAGAAGAAGTAGAAGGAGAAGGAGGAGAAGAAGAAGAAAGAGGAGAAGGAGAAGTAGAAGGAAAAGAAGGAGAAGTAGAAGGAGAAGAAGAAGGAGAAGTAGAAGAAGGAGGAGAAGGAGAAGAAGAAGGAGAAGGAGAAAGATAAGGAGGAGAAGGAGAAGAAGAAGGAGAAGAAGAAGTAGAAGGAGAAGGAGGAGAAGAAAAAGAAGAAAGAGGAGAAGAAGGAGAAGTAGAAGGAAAAGAAGGAGGAGAAGTAGAAGGAGAAGTAGAAGGAGAAGGAGGATAAGAAGAAGAAGGAGGAGAAGGAGGAGGAGAAGGAGAAGAAGAAGGAGAATAAGAAGAAGGAGAAGGAGAAGAAGAAGAAGGAGAAGGAGAAGAAGAAGGAGGAGGAGGAGAAGTAGAAGAAGAAGAAGAAGAAAGAGGAGAAGAAGGAGAAGGAGAAGGAGGAGAAGAAGAAGAAGAAGGAGGAGAAGGAGGAGAAGAAGAAGGAGAAGAAGAAGAAGGAGGAGGAGAAGTAGAAGAAGAAGGAGGAGGAGGAGAAGTAGAAGGAGGAGAAGAAGAAGAAAGAGGAGGAGGAGAAGTAGAAGGAGGAGAAGAAGAAGAAAGAGGAGGAGAAGAAGAAGAAGAAGGAGGAGAAGAAGAAGAAGAAGGAGGAGAAGGAGAAGAAGAAGAAGGAGGAGGAGAAGTAGAAGAAGAAGGAGGAGGAGAAGTAGAAGGAGGAGAAGAAGAAGGAGAAGAAGGAGGAGGAGAAGTAGAAGGAGGAGAAGAAGAAGAAAGAGGAGAAGGAGAAGGAGGAGAAGAAGAAGGAGGAGGAGAAGGAGAAGAAGGAGGAGAAGATGAAGAAGAAGAAGACATCAGTGGGAGTCGGTTGAGAAGAAGGCGGTGGACTCGAACCCACAACCTTCAGGCTGACAGTGCTCGACCATCGGAGCCACTGTCGCACAGATCTGGAGGACTCACTTCAAAACCAGTCCAGATCCATCCAGACTCTGACGTCAGACCCAGTTTTCAGGTCTTCATGTTTAGTCTCTTTCACATTTCACTGAGAACGGACCCGCCCCCTCTCAGCCAATCAGCTCTCAGTATGCACACCATGTGTTCTACTTAGATCATGGGTCTCCACCAGGGGCTCGATCCTTTTATGAGAAAATATGAAAAATGCAGAAGTCGCACCAGCTGAAAATGTATAATAAAGAAGGAAAAAACTAATGAATAAGTCACTTTTTTGGGGGAAATGTGTTTGATAAAATCCAACTCTAAGAACAGACATTTCATCTTGACAGGAAATATAAAATACATATAGAATCGAGAAAAACAGGCAGAATAAGTGTTACATAAAAAACAATCGTCACATTTTACGGTAACTCATTGACTGCAGCCGTTTTTGATGATTTCACTGATTTTAAAGACCCGCAGTTATTTTGTGCTAAGACTGTGTGAAACTTGGAAACTAGATTCTGCAACACTGCATTGTCTGCTTTCATCAGCAAAAATATGTTTGTTTTTAGCTTTTTTGGTTTTCCCGTAATCCCCAGTGGAATAGAGGGAAGTATCACCCGTCTCAGACAAATACGTCAATGGCGGTCAAAGGGTTAATGCCGCTTTTGACACCGTTGACCATGAGATTCTCATGCAGAGACTGGAGGACTGGGTTGGTGTTGCTGGTACTGCCCTAAGCTGGTTTAGGTCCTATCTAGAAGAAAGGAAGTATTGTGTGGAGATTGGAGACTATGTCTCAGATAATATGGCCCTGACCTGCGGAGTGCCACAGGGGTCGATTCTGGGACCTCTCCTGTTCAATATTTACATGCTGCCATTAGGTCAGTTAATTCAAAGTATGAAAGTGTCCTACCACAATTACGCTGATGACACTCAGATCTATGTCTCACTGACTGCAGGAGAGCATGGACCGGTGGACTCACTCCTTCGCTGTATCCAGCGGATCAGTGAGTGGATGCAATGCAATTTTCTCCAGCTAAATGCGGACAAAACCGAAATGATTGTCTTTGGTCCCGAGAAACAAAGAGAGACCGTCATTTGTCACCTTCAGTCTCTCTCCCTAAGGCCTTTAAATAAGGTCAGAAATCTGGGAGTAATAATGGACTCTGACTTAAACTTCAATAGCCACATTGGATCGGTAACATCAGCAGCTTTTTATCATCTGAAAAATATTGCCAAAATTAAAAATATTGTGTCCAGGGCAGACTTGGAGATTCTTATCCATTCTTTTGTTTCCAGTAGGCTAGATTACTGCAATGGCCTGCTCACAGGTATCTCCAAACATGCAGTAAAACAGCTGCAGTATATTCAAAATGCTGCAGCCCGAGTCCTGACTAGAACCAGGAAGTTACGACCACATTAGTCCGGTCCTCAGGTCTCTGCACTGGCTTCCCGTGGCCCAGAGGATAGACTTTAAAGCAGCTCTCCTGGTGTACAAGTCTCTCCATGGCCTTGCACCAAAGTACATCCATGATATGTTAGTCCCATATGAACCAGCCCGGACTCTGAGGAGCGCAGGGACGGGACTCTTGTTTAGTGCCCAGAGTCAGGACTAGACAGGGGGAGGCTGCTTTTCAGATTTATGCAGCTAAAGTCTGGAACAGTCTTCCTGAGGATGTGAGACTGGCTGCCTCTCTGTCAATGTTCAAATCCATGTTAAAGACTTTTCTTTTTTCCTGTGCATACAACTAGAGAATTTTATCTTTTTAACACACCTTGTTATTTATTGTTGTAACTTTTTGTGTTTTTAACTATTTTGTTTTTAATTACTTGTGTGATTCTTATGTTTTTAAATTACTTATGTGATTTTAATGCTTTTTGATTACATATGTGTTTTTAATTGTATTTTAATGGTGATGATTTGTGCATTGTGTGGTGTGGACTGTGAGGCGCTTTGTGTTGCCCTGTGCAGGAAAAGCGCCCTATAAATAAAGATTGATTGATTGATTGATTAATAACCAAAAACATATTTATGACTGTGCGGTCTGTGCCATGGCCAAAACAAACATTACTTTACTTTACTTTATTTATTTGATCAGGGACAATGCACAAACAACATTAGTCTAAAAAAGAAGACATGAGCAAAAATGCTCATTTCCACCCGCAGTCCCTGGACAGGTTGATGTTATACTTAAAATAATTCATGGAACCAATATATCGATTTTGTATCTAAAGCCCTTAAAATTCAAGTTGATTTGAATCCCTATTTAGCTATCTTTGGTATCCCAGTAAACTCTGTTTTAACGAATTCTTTGCACTCCAAAATATTGTCTTATACATCACTAATTGCTCGAAGAAGAATTTTGCTTTTCTGGAAATCCTCTAATGCACCTTTAATATCTCAATGGTTTCATGATGTCTTATCGTTTATTAAAATGGAGAAAATAAATCTTGCAATGAAAGGAAATGAGGAAAAATTCGAACATAAGTGGGGTTCCTTTATTGAATACTGTACATCACTTCAAACCTTGCCTTCAGATTAATACAGATTATTACCCCCCCCCCCCCTCCTTTCCCTGTGTGTGTGTGAGTGTGTGAGGATATTTTGTTTGTAAGTTTATTTAGATTTTTGTGTTTATGTAGCTTATATATATATATATGTAATGGCCTTTAAACTTAATTTAATTTGATTTTTGTTCATTGTAGGCCTATTGATTTGGGAGAAAAATAAGAAAATGTAACGAGGAAAACTTTGTCACTTCTCGATGTTTACCATTAATGCTTTTCCTCAATAAACATATTTACAAAAAAAAAAAAAAGAATTCATAAAATATATACAGAATAATACATAAACGCTTACATCATAAAAGCACTTTCTATCATTCACTCTCGCTCACAGTTTACAGCGTTCACAGTCATTCAGTGCGTACAGGTTGATAATAATAATAATAAACCTGACCTGACTCTTGTGTCCGTCTTCCAGGGAACGCCTTCGTGGTGAGCCTGGCGCTGGCCGACCTGGTGGTGGCGCTGTACCCGTACCCTCTGGTCCTCTCCGCCATCTTCAACGACGGCTGGATGGCGGGCTACATCCACTGCCAGATCAGCGGCTTCCTCATGGGCCTCAGCGTCATCGGCTCAATCTTCAACATCACCGGCATCGCCATCAACCGCTACTGCTACATCTGCCACAGCCTTAAGTACGACAAGCTCTTCTCCAACTCCAACACCATGTGCTACGTGGTGCTGGTCTGGGCGCTCACCATCCTCGCCATCGTCCCCAACTGGTTCGTGGAGTCCCTGCAGTACGACCCCAGAGTCTACTCCTGTACTTTCGCCCAATCGGTGAGCTCGCTGTACACCATAACCGTGGTCGTGGTGCACTTCATCGTCCCCATCGGGATCGTGACGTACTGCTACCTGCGCATTTGGATTCTGGTGATCCAGGTGCGGCGCCGGGTCAAGCCGGACACTCGCGCCAAGATCAAACCGCACGACATGAGGAACTTCCTGACCATGTTCGTGGTGTTCGTGCTCTTCGCCGTGTGCTGGGCGCCGCTGAACTTCATCGGACTCGCCGTGGCGTTGGACCACAGGTTGGGGGACGCCATTCCCGAGTGGCTCTTCACGGCGAGCTACTTCATGGCGTATTTCAACAGCTGCTTGAACGCCGTGGTCTATGGGGTTTTGAACCACAACTTCAGGAAGGAGTACAAGAGAATCGTGGTGATCGTTTTTCGGTTTCGCTGCTGAGGTCGAAAAGAAGTCACTTTGAATGAAATTGTTAGACCCGCCCCCATTGCTTCCTGATTGGATGACATTAATGCAGATCAGGGGTGTAAACTGATTGGTTACAGGTTTTCATCCCAACCAAGCACAGACTCCACCCACACTGGAAAAATAAGTCAAATTTGTCTAAATGTGTCTAAATCTGAGCACATTCTGATTCAAGCATTCTTGTTTTAAAAATATTTAGAAATGTCTCCTTTGGAATGAGGAAATAGAGCAACAGTTCTTGAAATGAGACTAAATACCCATGTCTTCTTAACCTGAAGACCTGACGACGGGTGAAGTCTGGTTGTGCTTTTGGTTGGAGTGAAAAGCCGCAGCCACACCGGCTCTTTAAGAACGGGTTTGACACACTTCACATCCTCAAACTGTTCTCTTCCAGTGAATCCGGCTGAATCAGAACCATTTTTTCTGCCGTGTGAGTCACATGACGTCACCGACCTTTGGCTCTCGGTGCAAACGGGTCAAAAGTAGAGAAGAAGAGAACAGAGTGAGGCAGAGTAAGAATCAATATAAAATTCAAATTAAAGGAGCTGTCTGTAAACGTGTGGCCAAAAGTGGTACTGCAGCCTCTCCCACTCTCCCTGACTCAGGTTGCCAGATATGCAGACGAATCCAGCTGGGACCATAACAGCTGAATAGACAAGAGTTTTGTCAACAACAAATCTATAACCAACACCTTTTTCACAAAGATAGAAATCCTGGTTTCCTAAAGTAAAAATCTTCATTCAAAATCCTCCACAGCGATGTAGAAAAAAATGTAAAGGGTTGAAAATGGGTTCGAGGCCGATCTCAGAGTTCAGGATGTGAGCAGGACATATGTGCAGAAAGACACGAACCGTATCAATAAATAACTTCAACTGTAAACATTTAACTGCAATATGTTAACTGCAATACACAGTACCAGAGAGAGAGACCAGAGAGAGACCAGAGAGAGACCAGAGAGAGACCAGAGAGAGACCAGAGAGACCAGAGAGAGACCAGAGAGAGACCAGAGAGAGACCAGAGAGAGACCAGAGAGAGACCAGAGAGAGACCAGAGAGAGACCAGAGAGAGACCAGAGAGAGACCAGAGAGAGACCAGAGAGAGACCAGAGAGAGACCAGAGAGAGACCAGAGAGAGAGGCCAGAGAGAGACCAGAGAGAGACCAGAGAGAGACCAGAGAGAGACCAGAGAGAGAGACCAGAAAGAGACCAGAGAGAGAGACCAGAGAGAGACCAGAGAGAGACCAGAGAGAGACCAGAGAGAGACCAGAGAGAGACCAGAGAGAGACCAGAGAGAGACCAGAGAGAGACCAGAGAGAGACCAGAGAGAGAGGCCAGAGAGAGACCAGAGAGAGACCAGAGAGAGACCAGAGAGAGAGGCCAGAGAGAGACCAGAGAGAGACCAGAGAGAGACCAGAGAGAGAGGCCAGAGAGAGACCAGAGAGAGACCAGAGAGAGACCAGAGAGAGAGACCAGAAAGAGACCAGAGAGAGAGACCAGAAAGAGACCAGAGAGAGAGACCAGAGAGAGACCAGAGAGTGAGACCAGGTCGTGTCTTCAAACTCTAGATATGTGTAATTTTCAAACCTTCCATTGGGATTGTGAACGGTCATTTTTACTTCTGGAAAACTAAACAAAGAGACATTTCGATAAAGTTAGATACATTTGAACTCACGGACCTTCACTTTAACAGCATTTTCCAAATTCACATTTAGCAGGAATGTAAAGGAGAGAGTATATTTTGGTTTTAAGGAGAGGTATCCATAAAAAGGAGTATTTTGCTAACACTGTGATGATCCACTGTCAACGTCTATTTCAAAACTTAGTAAAGACTTTTATTTTGAAAGGACAATCTCACTTCCTCTCTGCGGGAGATTTGAAGACTTTAGAAACTTTTGGACCTTATTTGACTTTGATACAAACGATCGGAGCAAGAACAAAAACATGGACGAACCTGGACTTCCTCTGAACAGCCTCCAGGGGGCGCTGCTGCCGTGATGCGATGTATGGGTTACTCAACTAAAGAAGAACAGCTGTGAAAAGTGAATGGATATTTTTGTAAACATTGTATATGGTTGGAGGAGGGTTAGGAAGTTTCACGGAGACCAGAGAGAAAGAGAGACCAGAGAGCGAGAGAGACCAGAGAGAGAGACCAGAGAGAGAGAGAGACCAGAGAGAGAGACCAGAGAGAGAGACCAGAGAGCGAGAGAGACCAGAGAGAGAGACCAGAGAGAGAGAGAGAGACCAGAGAGCGAGAGAGACCAGAGAGAGAGACCAGAGAGAGATAGAGACCAGAGAGAGACCAGAGAGGGAGAGAGAGCGAGAGAGACCAGAGAGAGAGACCAGAGAGGGAGAGAGAGCGAGAGAGACCAGAGAGATAGAGACCAGAGAGAGAGAGAGACCAGAGAGAGCGAGAGAGAGAGAGAGAGACCAGAGAGAGAGAGAGACCAGAGAGCGAGAGAGACCAGCGAGAGAGAGACCAGAGAGAGAGAGAGAGACTAGAGAGAGAGAGCACAGAGAGAGAGAGAGACCAGAGAGAGAGAAAGACCAGAGAGCGAGAGAGACCAGCGAGAGAGAGAGCGAGAGACCAGAGAGACCAGAGAGAGAGAGACCAGAGCGAGATAGACCAGAGAGAGAGAGAGACCAGAAAGGGACAGACCAGAGAGGGAGAGACCAAGCCCAGAGAGAGAGAGAGACCAGAGAGAGAGAGGGAGAGAGCAAGGCCAAGCCCAGAGAGAGAGAGGGAGAGACCAGAGAGAAAGAGAGAGAGTGAGAAAGAGACCAGTGAGAGACCAAACCCAGAGAGAGAGAGATCAGAAAGAGCGACCGGAGGGAGAGAGAGACCAGTGAGAGAGAGAGAGACCAGAGAGAAAGACACCAGTGAGAGAGAGAGACCAGAGAGAGAGGGAGAGAGACCAGAGAGAGGGAGATACCAAGCCCAGAGAGAGAGACCAGAAGGAGCAACCAGAGAGAGAGACCAAGCCCAGAGAGAGAGACCAGAGAGAGGGAGAGACCAAGCCCAGAGAGAGAGACCAGAAGGAGCAACCAGAGAGAGAGACCAGAGAGAAAGACACCAGTGAGAGAGAGACCAGAGAGAGAGGGAGAGACCAATCCCAGAGAGAGAGACCACTGAGTAGTAATTTTGTTCTTGTGGAGTTTTTGCAGTGAGGAAAATAATCTGGAGCTAAATTCCCGGCACCAAAAAAACAAAAAAACACAAGTTGCTGTGACGCTAAACATGAAGCAAAGATCCTCGAGTTACATTTTGACAAAGTAATTCTACAAAAACAAAGAAACAATGACGCAAACCTGTGAATGTGCAATAACGGTTTTGTGTTTACAAAAGTATCCGTCAGTTCCTCGCAGCTCCGACCACAACACTGTCTCCTCTGGATCTCTGAATGTCGACGGGGCGCGTTCATGTGACATCACTCTGAAAACCACGTGATCCACTGGGGTTTTACTGCAGACGGTTTAACGCAAAGAATCTGTTTGTAGATCATGAGCTGGAGGCAAAAACTCACCTGAAACTGTCATAATGCAAATGAGTACAAATAGAGACTGCTGCCATCTGCTGGTGTGGAGGGGACGGACACACAGCAGGAAGGATCAGACTAAATTGGTTTAAAAAGGCAGAAAAGGTCTCTGTAGCCGCCTGTTTTTAGAGTTTTAACACAAAGCATTGTCAGAGAGATGAGGAGGACAAGTCTCTGATGACAATTTGGCTGGATTAAAGCTGGGGTACCTAACTTTAAAACCACAAAATACAATAATCAAACCAGTTCCTTGCTCTCAAAACATTTGGCTTTTATCACTGTATTTTTTAACCTCTGTCACATTTTTAGACTGAAAAGTGTAAAAGAGAGGACCCCCCCTCGCTCAGCCAATCAGCTCAGCCCAAAGAGGCAGATACTGACTCACAGGGATGCCAAATATATAACAGGTTTTTCTAAAGATGAAGAGAATATTGTGGTCAGACTCTTTCTGTTGGAGAAACTAAACACTGCAAAAAACTATAAAGTATGAGGTGGTTTTTATCCTAATATAGTTCATTTTGAGTCAATGGGACAAAGTCATTTAAAGTCTTATTTCCAAAACTGTTGCTTTATTTACTTGTTTCAAAGGAAAAAAAGCTGTATTTCTGTATCTTTTTACAACAAGATTATTTAGATTTGTCTCATTGGAGAATCTGGTTTTAAGGCTCCGTCAGAATGTGCTCAAAATAAGATACTTTATGTGTATGTATGTTTTATGTGCGAGGAGTTAGATACCCGAGCTTTAAGACCAGAGAGAGACCAGAGAGAGACCAGAGAGAGAGACCAGAGAGAGACCAGAGAGAGACCAGAGAGAGAGACCAGAGAGAGACCAGAGAGAGACCAGAGAGAGACCAGAGAGAGAGACCAGAGAGAGACCAGAGAGAGAGACCAGAGAGAGACCAGAGAGAGAGACCAGAGAGAGACCAGAGAAAGGCCAGAGAGAGACCAGAGAAAGGCCAGAGAGAGACCAGAGAGAGACCAGAGAGAGACCAGAGAGAGACCAGAGAGAGACCAGAGAGAGAGACCAGAGAGAGACCAGAGAAAGGCCAGAGAGAGACCAGAGAAAGGCCAGAGAGAGACCAGAGAGAGACCAGAGAGAGACCAGAGAGAGACCAGAGAGAGACCAGAGAGAGACCAGAGAAAGGCCAGAGAGAGGCCAGAGAGAGACCAGAGAGAGACCAGAGAAAGGCCAGAGAGAGACCAGAGAGAGACCAGAGAGAGAGACCAGAGAGAGACCAGAGAGAGACCAGGGAGAGAGACCAGAAAGAGACCAGAGAGAGACCAGAGAGAGACCAGACCAGAGAGAGACCAGAGAGACCAGACCAGAGAGAGACCAGAGAGAGACCAGAGAGAGACCAGAGAGAGACCAGAGAGAGACCAGAGAGAGGCCAGAGAGAGAGACCAGAGAGAGACCAGAGAGAGAGACCAGAGAGAGAGACCAGAG